TAAAAAGAGCAGGTATATTTAAGCTCACACGTGCATCAACAAACATGAGACGCATTTGTCGCCGGTGATTCGGTTTGTATTCCGGTTGAACACATTTGCGGCATGAGATCTGCCAAAGCTCAGGTAGCAGCGTGCGGTGCGTCACGGCGCGCGGGGCACGCTAGTGAAAGAACTGGCTGGTGCGCCGCTCCTCGATGGCCGGGTCGACATTGAGCAGGTTCCGCGCGGGCAGGTAGCGCGGGTGAAACGGTCCCAGGTTGCCGAGGTTGGTGGAGCTGACGGGGCTCTCGCAGCGGCGCGCTGCCGGCCGGCGCAGCAGTGTCAGCGCCGCGCGCCACCGGCTGCCGGCCGCCCGCAGACGCGGCACGCGCAGACTGCGCTGCACCTGCGTCAGCGAGGCGCGGTGCACCAGCGAGTACACCACCGGGTTGACGGCCGAGTGAGCGTGGCCAAGCAGCAGCGCAAACGGCATCACCAGCGCCGTCGGCCGACTGGCGTAGGCCAGGTGCGCCAGGCCGGCCAGCGTGAACGGCAGCCAGCAGGCGGCGAACACCACGACCAGCACCACCAGCGTGTTGGCCAGCTGCTGGCGCGTCTTCAGCGAGTAGCTGCTGGTGGAGCGCAGCAGCGGCGGCCGGCAGCGCGGGGGCCGCTCCCCGGGCGAGCGGCGGCCGCCGAGGCGCGCGCGCCCGCTGCGCCGGCCGCCGCCGCTGCCGTCCGTCCGCAGCCGCACCAGCTCCAGACTGGCGTCGTCGCTGTCGTCGCGCTGCACCACCTTGGGCGTGAGGCCGGCGTGCGCGTTGCGCGACATGATGATGACGCTGTTCTGCGCGCCGCCGGTGGGCCGCCGCTCGCCGGTCGCCAGAGAGTTGGCCGTGCGCAGGTTGCGGCTGACGAGTGTGTGGCAGACGGCGACCACACCGCACGGAGCCACGATGACGAGCAGGAGGAGCGCGGCGCGGTAGAGACGGCCGGCCAGCGGCCACGGCCATCGCTCGGCGCACACCTCGGCCGCCCCGCCGCCGCCGGCCGGCACCAGCTGGAAGGCGAACACCAGCGGAGAGGCCACGGCGGCGGCGGCCACCCACACGGCCACCGTCATCCGCACCGCCACCCGGCTCCGCTCGCCCTGGTTGAACATCTTGGGGCTCTTCATGGCCAGACAGCGGTCCAGCGACAGCATCATCAGCGAGTAGGTGCTGGCGGCCACGGCGAGGACGTGCAGCAGCGGACTGGCGCGGCACCAGGCCTCGCCCAGGTGCCAGCTGGCCGTCAGCCGGGACACCATCGTGTCCGGCATGCAGAGCAGCGTCACCAGCAGGTCGCTGACGCACTGCGACACCACGATGTAGTTGCGGCACTGCAGGCTGCGCGACGTCTGCGACAGCGCGAAGATGAGGAACCCATTGGAGAGCACGCTGGCGACGAACGTCAAGCAGTAGAGCGTGGTGATGACGATCACGGTGGCGGGCATGTAGCCCGGGCAGAGGTTGTAGCCCTCCTCCGGCCAGCCGAGCAGCTCCTGTTTGCTCGTGGTGCACACGTTCATGGCTCGGCCGGACCGGTCTGTGATCCGAGCCCTTCCTCCGGCCGCCGTCTGTACCCGGTCCCGCGGCGCAGCGGGTGGCCTGAGGTCGGCAGGCGCTCAGTGGTCTCGGTGTATGTGCTACCGAAACTGGGCACAGGAAGAGAGCTGGTGATTTGGTAGTGCCGAGATTCAGTTGACGAGTGCAGCGTGCTCAGACCATCTGTAGGTGAAAGAGAGTGAGCTTAATTAAATGCATGTGCGATGATATTGGATGCTACGCAGATTAAAGGAGAGTTTTTGTTAATTAATGAGGTTCTGTTTTTGCACAAATCGATCGGAAATCACCGCAGTCGTAAACCCATTCATCGTCATTTTGAGAGCTAAAGGGTATGATGTAAAAGCCCACAGATCATCTAACTACATGAAGTCTTTGTCAATCTCAGCAGGGGCGGAACACCTTCAATTAAGGGGGGGGGGGGGCACTGCCGACTTTTGGTCCCATTCTTTCCATGCAACGCCCATTGGGCTAATGTTAAAATGCCAAAATCAAAGGGGGGCACGGTGCCCCGGTGCCCTCCCCGTTCCGCCGCCTATGATCGTTTTATCGTATTTCTGATAGCATTAAAAATCTTCTTGTTGCACAGCTGGCAGAGTCATTAACTGTGGTTCAATCGATCTTGTATCGTTCCATTACCTAGTTCTTGAATTGATAAAAGTGTTATTAATTAAAAATGATAAGCTTATTTATGTGCTATATCAATTTTAATTATGCTCCAATATCCACATTTAATGTGTGGGTGGCTTGCTTTAATCTCTTAGGTTGTAGTCTACATAGGGCACATTTTACTTTTTTAATTAGTTATTCTTTTCTTAACTTTAACCAATTTGAGGCGTATGTACCAGCAATCGACATTTTGCCAATTGGTGGTGGTAACTGAAAATGTAGCTAACTCCTGAGTAAGGACGGAAAGAGGAACTCAACCTATTCATTGTTCAACGCAAAAAAGTCTCATCACGGTATGTTACAGGGATTATTTATTCATGCAAATTTTAAGCCGTAGCTAGAGCTGAAGTCGCTGAAATAGAGAATGGGATGTTTTACCTAAGCGTCTGGAGGACGAAGGTCGAGTGTTAGATTAGTTCAAAGAATTGCTCACAAGGTCGTAGTTCTTGACCCGTTAAAATTAAAAATTTCCTGCGTAAAATGTATTTGCAATGAATAATTCAAGAAGAAAAGACCTCCGCAATGACGAGTGTATGTACGCTTTGGGGCCTAAGGCTTACCGTAACCAGCTGTAACCAGCTGTCAAGGATTAATCCTTAATTAATAGTAGGTAGTTAATAATAATTAGGTCTTGACGGCTGTCACCAACTGTCAAGGCCTAAGGTTGTCTGCATATGAATGTACTTTATACATACATTGCACAAGCATATCCTCAGAGACAGATGGTCTGTAGGAAGTAGCGGTACAACTGATCGAAAGGTACAGCGAATGAAACAAGACCTCCCGGGCCTTGGATTTAAACTCAAGCCCGCGGCTCTCCTGTTTAAGCACCCCTAGCGATGGCGCACAGCTCCACTGTTTTTAGCACTTATATATTTCTGCCTATATATTTCTGCTATATATATTCTGCTTATATATTTCTGCCGCACGCGTTGTAATGATTTTTTCCAATGATTGTTATCGGTGCTTGTTAAAAACGTCAAAAAATCATTATTAGGCCCCCACTTTAAACCGTTGCAGCTGTGCTATTGTATAGTCGACTACAGAATGATGTTCCACTTTTCATGCAGGCAATTATTTGCCTGGAGTGGTAGGCTGTTCCGCATCACTCGGGCTGAGTTCACAAATTAAAGCTTTGTTCCAATGCTCACAATCGACACGCTTAATTGCGTGATAAACGGCACAACTTAGCGCTCCGGTCAACTGATAGCTTCTGAGGAGTCGAACATCATTCTGTAGTCGACTATACGCTTATAATTGATACAGGTCTGATAAATGACGCGCTTGAATTAATCCTAAGCCACGCGCATGCTGGGTCTGACGGTGTCACGCACGCTGTGCTCCCCACGATTGCGCCGTTAGCTTACATTGAGCGTTAACGTTTACTTTGCAGCTTACGGCCCCATGCGCTAGCTCGGTAATCAGCAGATCAAACACACCGGCACGGCACAGCCGTAAACTGCCCTCCGCTCCACAGAGCACAGCAAATCGACGTCGTATCCTTCAAAGGGAAAGCTCTGCACGCCTGTTTGTGCACACTGACAGCGGGAATAATTTGCAATGGTGCGAAACGTTCAGTGCTTATATTCATTTTTTTTAGAAAGGCTTTGTAGAATTACGACGGGAAAAAGGGCGAAATAAGACGATTTCTTAAGAAGTACAGGAAGCAGAAGCCAGCGGTGAGAAGTCGAAACAACAAGAAGTATGTTTTGCTATGGGAAATGATCACCAAGCAGTCAGACTTACACCGCGTTAAAAAGATTATAATACCGGGATTTGAGGCATAGAGACCCAAGAAGTCAGGGTTCGGGATTTAGCAACTCAATGTGGAAATTCGGGATAAGTGTGGGGTGGACTAGGAAGGACTCGATTCGAGAGTGGGACTAACTAAGAAGATGACAAGTATGGAGTGTAGACTGGTTAAGTGGGGATGCCCTTTGCCGGTCTAATTTTTGCAGCAGGGGTGGCTCCTACCATCCGTGCCATCCAATAGACGCGCCGGAACGCAGGGAGATGGGCCGGGAATGGGCGATGAGACGATAAGAGGGAGGACGAGAACCGTCTGTCCGGCACGGATACGGTGGCAGTTTCAGCACCTTGCGGAAAGGTTAGAGTTCAGATCGCTCCACGTCGCTACGACGTCACAAGTGAGAGGTATCCACAGAATGGCTAGAGAGAAAGAAAGAGAGAGAGAGAGAGAGAGAGAGAGAGAGAGAGAGAGAGAGAGAGAGAGAGAGAGAGAGAGAGAGAGAGAGAGAGAGAGAGAGAGAGAGAGAGAGAGAGAGAGAGAGAGAGAGAGAGAGAGAGAGAGAGAGAGAGAGAGAGAGAGAGAGAGAGACTTGTTCTTGATAATTGTTTCCTCGAAATCGGTCCATAGAATCGGACATTGAAATTAAAAACAAAAAAGATTCAAGGGCGTGTGTTTTAGTTCGCTCTTCAGTTTTGCTTTGATATGCAGCAGCTCGAGATGAAATGGAAACCGAGGAAGGTGCAATACGAATGTCGTAGGCGAAAATACAATGTGAAAAGATCGAAAATAATCGAAAGACCATCTTTCGATACATTTAATGTTTGAAAAAGGCCTTTGGCTGAAATATCACAATTAAGTGTATTTATTGTCACTATCTTTAGTTTTGTTTTTTAATTTTCGAGGAAAAGGTCATAATTTTACATTGGCCATATTCTTTTAAAAATGTTTCTCGCAGAAGTAATTTCCTCATTTAAGCATGAACAATGTTCAACATACATGTAGGTACATAATTTCTTGTCGCATACAATGTTTTATCTTTTTCTTTAGCTTATTTTCGCCCAGATACTCCACATCGACGCTGTAAAGGGATGCCAGCACTGTCGCTGACTCATATTTCGCCCAAATGCGGTAGAGAACGTCGAATGGAATATCGTGAGGTGTTACGATGCACCCGTTGACGAGTTAGCGGAACGGCGCGGCGGGGGCGACGTGGTAGGCTTGGGTTTGACGTGATGTCAGCGATGATTCGGCCGTGCGACCGGAGATCTATGCATATCTATTATATAGTCGCACGATAAAAATCCATCAGGCGAATTAGATAAAAGTATCGACAGTGTGGCTTTCGGAAAGGAGATAAATTTGAATGGTTCTTTCTTTGTCACATTGTCATGGATATGTTTCAATTCACTATTTTATTATGAGTAGCTACAACCGGATATAAATCTTGAACGTACGCTTAGACATCAACTTGAAGAAGAAATTGTCAAAGTTCATATGTTCGTGACCATTTTATCGAAATTGAATTAACATTCGTACGTTTCCCGCACAATAAAAGTATGTAATTGCGAACGTAATTTGTAGGCATAGAAAAGTCATACACTTAGCTGCTCATGCAATAGCTGAGCATTCTGGCAACAACAACGAAGCAATAGAGTGTACCAATGCTCATATGTATAATAAAAGCAGTATTTATTTTACATATACGCACGTCGCACAGCTATGCATTTCGTCAGTGTATGCGACTCGGTGCCATCTCAGGACACCGTTTGTTTTACTAACCGTTCCGGACGGCTGTCGGTGCGGGCTGTTGATCGTTCCGGAGCGGCCGTCTCCTGTCTGATTTGCGCCCCCAGTCGCTCCACCCGTGACCTGATCGCCGTGACCTGACCGCCGCCCGCCACCCGCGCGACCTCGGCCGCCGCCGCTCCGACCCCGCCGCCGCCGACGGCCGAGTGCCGGCGTCGACGGCGACGAGGACGGCGCGCGACGGGCGCAGGCGTCGCCGCAGGGGTCCCCCGACCTCCCCCCCCTACTCCCGAGCCGGACATGGGGAGACACAATAAGCCGGCACCTGTTGTGTACAAACACTGAGACGAGATACGCTAAATAGAACCGGCGGAGATAGCGCGGAGAATAACATCTGCCTGGGAGGTCTCTTGGGCCGCTGGCCGTTTGAACTTCAGGCTTTTCCATTTGTTTGCTTACTTGTTACGGCAATGTGCTCACCGAAGTTGCCTTGGAGCCTAAACGAAATAGACGATTGTTTATCAAAAGAAGTGCGAACTTGGACAATGTAGGCAAAGCTCTTGAATCAGATTACATTGCATTGACTTCATGATCGTCTCGCAAATTTCACTTGAGAGCTAAAACGACCATACGGGTACGCCCGAAGATGTCTGGTAGATGAGCTTCCATGTAGTTCGTATAGTTCTTCGCCGTTCGATGGTAAAGTCTGGGACTATTTGGATCCGAAAATATATGAGATGTCTTTTGTCCTTCACCCACATATTTCGCCAACATCAAGCAATCCTTGCCCATATACGATATACGAACGTATTTCGAGTGCCAGAGCACCTTGAGCCCGTCTCTCATCACTGGGAATTATCTGTCGGTATACCAGCTGAGCTACGGGGCTGGTTATATCTAAATATTGATTTTCTGTTGGCAAAAATAAGTTACACCCCTGTGGTATTTTCTGTCCTTTGACATACCTTCTGTCCTTTGGTTTGGTAGGTATTCAACACATGACGTGATTGTAAAAAAAAAAACGTAGTTAATAGCATTGTACTTGTTTTATTGCAAGAGTGTGTTTCCATACACGTCGTCAATTGTTGATGTTTTCATCAGTGATTTGTCCGACGATCAAATCACGTTTTTTCAGATTGCACTCGGCGATGACATAACACGACTAGAACCACGAGTAGTTGAGTGCACAGTGATTCACACTTCCCGCCGAGCCGGTATCAACAAGTAACACACCGGTCAGCTCTGGGTTCCCATCGTCTGAAAGCTCGACAGTTCACACTCTATGAAGATGATCTAGTGCACCGGGTCGGTCCTCTCTCGTCTCCGCCGGTCGTCGGTGGAGCCGGCCGGCCGGCCGCTCCGCTCAGCTCAGAGAAATCCCAGAGCCATCTGTGTCTTTATGTCGGGAAAGAGGTCGCTGCCGGGAGCGCCCTACTGGTACTTGGGGGGCTCGTAGGAGGGGGGATCGTAGGAGGGGGGATCGTAGGAGGGGGGTTCGTAGGAGGGGGGCTCGTACGAGGGCGCCTTGTACGACGGCGGCTCGTAGCCCTTGTGCTCGTCCTTGCCGTAGCCGCCCTTGTGGTCGCCCTTGCCGTAGCCCTTGGGCGCGTGGTTGTACTCCCAGTAGTGCTCACCGTATCCTCCCTTGGTGTCGGCCCACTTGACCTGGAAACGAGACGGCACAGCGGTCAGCTCGGGGCTCTGGTATAAGAGCTTATTACGGAGAGCTACTGCGTATTGATTATAAACTCGTGCATAGGAAACGATCGTTGACCTGAACTAATCTTATATTCATGAGTGTCAATACTAATAGGCGTCATTATAACAACCCATGAGGACTTTATTTATTCTAATGATTTGCCCGTAAATTGGCACACAGCTTTTACGTTTTGCCGTATCAAGTCGATTTGTACCCAATATTTATGCAATAACCATTGAAGCGATATTTTCATATGCAATGTGTGGTTTGTACCGTACCCGGGTGCGGAAGCGGTGGTCCTTGGCCTGCTCGTAGCGGCTGATGTAGTGGTGCGGGTTGCCGCGGTTCCAGCCGAACTCGTACTCCTTGTGTCCGGGCACGTTGACGTACTGGAAGTAGCCGTCCGGCTGCTTGCCGTAGCCGTCGCCTCCGCCGCCCTGGGCGGAGACGGCCACGGCCAGCATGGCCAGGCAGAGCACAGCGAGCTGGAACGGGCGGGGAGGTCAGAACGAGATCACAGGGCGAAAATACACGGCTGAATAACAAGCCATGAGCGGGGTGGAGCCCGATAAATGATGGACTTTTGAGTTATGAGAATTAAAAGGAAACGGCAATTTGCCTGCCTCATTACTTCGACACTAAATTACGCAAGTTTGCATTTCTAATTGTTTGCCCCACACGTCGGCGATTACTTATCAAGCATAACGGTGCTAATGAGAGGGAAAACTCCCTTTAGACAGCATGGAAACTGCGCCTAGGTTAATTAGAGAGCCCTTCATTCCGTCAGATGGTGTAACTGTTACCCAGAGGCCTCCAGCCGGCGAACGGATCGCATGTTAACGGTGTATCAGGATGTCTAAGTGGGCGAGTCGCGAGTGAGAGTGCTGCAGAATACTTCGGGCAACTGGAGAGAGCGAGAGTGCTGGCATCGAGTGAGAGTGAAATCAACATCGCAAACCCTTGATCGCAAATATAGCAGTCCTTTCCATTGCAACAATTTGGTAAAGTTTTGGACACTAAAGCTAAAGCTAGTAGGTTTCTTCCTGTCTGAGGTCTGGCTGGCATTTGTAGGCATTGCATACTTTTAAAAAAAGGTACACTTCAATGTTCAGAACTGGCGCAATGACTTTATCTCTGAAAATTTTGCTTGGCCCTCACTATACGAATCTCATTTTCACGGCACACTGGAAGTCGCTTGCACTTCTCTGGACCACTTAATCACACCGAAGACGTTCACACTTGGGGCGTCGAAAACCGCCCGGACCACCACCGACCGCTGAGAGCTGGTGAGGTGATGTTCACACAGATCACTGGAGGAGTCGACTGCCGAGGTCGGTTCCAGGAGAGCACACTTACCGTTCCTCGGTGGGCCATGTTGAGCGTCTGATGCCTGGGCTGCCGGCCGACAGCGTTATATAGCTGCCACGACGCGGGTTTCTCTGGGAGGGCGTGGTTTCTCCCGTAAATCAGCCGACCGGCCAACCGGCGGGTCACCTCCCCGAGCACATCACACAATGAACACAATGGAGCCGCGAGATGGGGGAGAACTCCTGCGGTGACCCCAAAGGTCAGCTCGTGATACCGTAATGCACAGGGAGATGCGGCATGGACCCACGGACTTCCTATTACCATATCGTGCCCGTCTCAGCTGTGGGCTGCTGACTGATATACCGGTTGGCACATAAAAACACTCCAAACTTTGAAGCTCCATTGACAGCGTTACTTATGCTGTGGATATGTACTAGACATTTTCGGGAGCAGCAGGTAATACCTATTTCAGACATCGTTCGTAAAAAACATTTCAAATATTTCTGGCTAGTCGTTGTTCTTGTCTTGCATTGGAAGTAAAAAGTGGCCAAGCCAATGTTTTCCTCGATCAATTTTTGGATAATCACTCTTGGGATAAAAGAGCGACTGGTTGTTGTCATCTCCGCACTTCCTTTGTTAGAGCGTGGACATCCTATAGGTGGGTAGAATATTTTAGAAATGGTGCGACTTTTAAGTTCGAAACGTTTTATTTAGGGGGCGACCCGGTAGGTATTTGCCCCTCAAAACATATTTTTGTTTTTTGCTGCCACACTTGGCGTGTGTTTTAGCTTTAAAATAATAGGTCTTATCGAAAGAGTGGAGCATCGCGCGTCTACCCGTTATGAGTTCCGATCGACTGATACCATAGCCCGCGAGTTAATCTCGGTCTTGTCGAAAGATCAATACCTCCCACGCAGTGAGACGTGGGCTGTGCATGCATTTATACAAACTTTTCGGCTTATCATTCCAGGACTTGCAAGTGATTTCAGGACTGTTAGATGACAGGTTAGGAGGAGCCATCAGACTAGCTCGTTCACTGGTGGTTGCAACATAGCCGAGAATTCCACTTTGTTGGGACAAGCCACACAGCTGCTCATAACCGGTTTTCTCAGAATGGTGTGCTTTTAATGGAAGTTTCATTTCCGGCAGTCCGTCAAATTTTAGCGCCTCATTATACATACAGATACACCAATTTGATGTGATTCCTGAAAATTTGAACGAAATCCACCCAACATTTTTTTTTTTTTGTATTTCATGTCACGCCATCATATTCGTTTCAAAAACTCGAAAACTTCAAAAGGGCGTCTAACATCTTCATTTTATGGAAACAATACGCAACCAGTATAACGCCTTTTGGGGCGACTAACGGAGCGAGCGAGAGGGTGGGCCTTGCACGCGCGAAATTGCGAGGGGGTACCTCCTACTGACTTGTGCACGGCACCCTACTAACCGGTCTCTAGCGATGTGCCAAATTTGGGCACAATCGGCCCAGCCGTTCTCGAGATCCGGAAGCGGCACCCTGCACGTGCGCACGTGCAAAATGGGTGCACAAGTCTAGGGTGCAACCCTAGACTTGTGCACGGCACCCTACTAACCGGTCCCTAACTGTGTACCAAATTTGAGCGCAATCGGTCGAGCCGTTCTTGAGATCTGGAAACGACCCCTGCACGTGCGCACATGCAGCAGCACCCCAACTCTGGCACATGGATATGCAGTGCCCAGTGGGTGCCTACCTACATGCCAACTTTCAGCGCAATCGGCCAAGTAGTTACCGAGATATTGCAACAATGACAAAACTGACACCTCTTCGTTTTGCACGTGGCACGTGCATAAAGGGTCACCCACATGCATCGGGAATAGTCCAATACTTGGTAGAAGGAATGAAGCTACCCTACAAAAATTACCGCATGTAAATTGGTCACGTGGTTGCTGAGATATAAGCCTCGCAAAAGCGTCCGCACGGCCGGCCGGCCGCTCATACTAAGAAATTTCCGTTAAAGGAAGGGTGCCACCTTTTGGACACAACGCAGTTTTTACAAGATTAGCCTCACATGAACCTAAAAACCGGCTTCACTTACCTATGCTCGAGACGGTCAGCATAAAAGAAAGCAGAAAAACTACTTTCAGCAGAAAACTTTCAGCAGAAAAACTACGCTCGCTTCGCTCGCTCCGTAACAAAGTACAATTCTGCTTTGTTTAAATGGCTATATGGGATTTTCATAAGTCTTTTCGAATTTCACCCATCATTTTCCAAGCTAATTTCTTAGTTACATTTTCATGAAATCTTGAACTTTGAGTTAACTGAAAAATTTGAGCATATCTCAGCGAATTAACGTAGGTAATACTAATAAAAGCCTACCTTCCAATTTTCAGACAAATCGGTACACAAATTTAGTAGCTATTAGCCGTTTTCACGACGGGCTATCCGGCGAGTGCACCTAATTTGACCAAATCTGCACCTAATCTCTTTTACAGCAAATGTCTTTATTTTATAAGTTTATTTCAGTGTTGTAATCGATGATGCTCTCTGACAATATGACAAAGCAGGCATATAAGCAACTAGTGCAACCCTAGATGGTAGCTACTAAGAGACACACTGCACCTAATTTGACCAAATCTGCACCTTATCTGCACCAAATGTGCACCAAATGTGTACCAGATGGCCGTCGTGAAAACGGCTATTGACGTTTTAGAAACGTGGCCGGTTCGCTGTGAACGGTTTCTACCATCCGCCATTCCGGTCACCCTGGCAGTGGTCCCTAACTAATTTCTTTTGTAGCTGGCGTACTCAATTACAATTAAAATGGAAATTCTGAGATATGGAGTTCACCTTATAATTTACCTGCAATTGAGCTCATTAGAAAATCTGCTTGTCAGCCGATAAATTTTTGGCAATTGCCAGAACTGCCAACTACCATGTAGCCGCAACTTCCGCTTATTCCTAGAAAAGAACTTACGTCTTTTAATTTTGAATGTATTGTGCTTCGAAATGAAACGTAATGCGCATCAAAAGGAAAAATGAGGGTGTTTTTACAAGCATTATTTTTTCTTTATTGCATGCTGTGCTCGCATCAGAATATTGTACTGCTATCAGTGGAAAACACACCGGAAGTTCAAAATTATGGACTTCCGGGCTTTAACCCTATTCCTGGCGGGGGGGCCTCAGGAGCCCCCCCCCTGAGGTTTTTTGGTTATTTCTCCCAAACGCGTTGAGCTAGGAAGCTCAAATTTTCTGACTTTTCCTAAAAGGCTTCTACGCAACATGTCTGAAAATTTTGAGTTGATCTGACCTCAGGTCAGGTCACCAGAGGCGGTTTGGTGACCCTACCTCAGAAAAGTTTGCAATCACGCCAGAGCTAGAGTTTTTGACCGATCAATTTCTTCTCTTCAGGCTTTAGTTAGGGTACCAGTATGTGCAATTTGTATATCTCGGAATTTTGATATCGGTGACCTAAGGTCAGGTCAGTTTCGCGACCTCCCCATTATAAGTCAATGGGGGAAAAATCAACTCCCTGTTTTTACCACTAAAACGGGTCGGAATGGCCCCATATACCATACATGACTTCATATACGATCAACCTTCACTACCTTGAGGTCTGTTTTGCTGTTGGGCAGCTGTGAGGTCATGTGACGTCATCAAAGGTCACCAAAGGTTTTTGGCCAATAACTCCGTACAGGAACAAGATACAGACGCGTGGATGGTCTCATTGTGTTCAGCTCGTCAAGACGCATCGAATGATATACATGATGACCTCGAGGTCACGTGACCTGAGGTCAACCTTTGACCTTGACCTTGCGAGGTCAACATATATCATTCGATGCGGATTGACGAGAGGATCACGATGATGCCCTTAGTTTGTTCCTATCTTGACTAATTCGAAAGTTATTCGAGAAAAACTCTCTCCATATCTGGCGCCGCCATTTTGACTTTTTCGACCCCTGTGACGTCATCTTTGACCTGACCTGAAAATGACCTTAGTAAAAATTGTAGATCTTGACCGTGCGTATCCGATGCCGTTTACCGTTTGTCGCTATCTTGCTTCGTTCTCGAGATCTCAGGGGGGGCCGAATCGGCCCCCCCCGCCAGTTTCTTGTCCCGGCGGAGCCCGCCAGGAATAGGGTTAAGGGCCGTACTTAGCTATCAAATATCAGTTATGTACATGCAGATGACTAAAGAAGCAGGCAAATGACTACTGTGCGTGCGATTGATGTGAGCGCGAGAGGCATGAATACTTTACGCTCTCGTATGTTATTTCCTGACTGCCGAAGGGGTCTGCTACAGTGACTGTGTGTCAGTGACTTTAGTAACAGTGCGACGTGACCGAGACCAAGTGCGGCACTTGCGGCCAGTTGACCTAGAGAGGTCGAAAAAGTTAGGCTCCAAAAATTTGCCACGCAGTTTGTGGCGATTAGATATTGAAATTTGAAAGAGCAAATGACGAAAAATGGCGCTAAAAATGGCACTGCAAATGATTGGACCAGAAGGTATCTTTTCATTATCATTCTGCATCCAAAGGTCACGTTGCGACCTAAGGTCATGGAGAAGTCATGTCGAAAAATTACTCAAACCTGAAGTTTGTCATTTCTTTCTTTTATATTTTGGTACACATGCGATTACAATACTTGACCTGTTCGTGACATCGGTTACATTAGCTTCAAATAATTACGTATCATGGGCAAGACCAAGCAATAATTCCCATGTCCTAGCGTTTATGTTTTTATTGAGTATGGTGGAGGCATTTTCCTTTGAATCTCCTGGGATGATAATTGATAGTCAACCAGACAATCAAACCATTTGATTTCGCTTGGAAATGAAATAACACAACTCAGAGAGGAAGAGAGCGTGATTTTTCAACTCTACTTCCTTCAGCCAACAACTTTAGCAGGTGGTGTTTTCAGACATTAGCCACGGTCTGGGCACATCGCCTGGCGATCCAGAACATGACGCTCTTTTGTGCCAGCTCGCGGTAATTAGTCCGCGGGCTTCAGGCCCCGTCGCTCCCTGCATCACTCCACCGGCCATGCCTTGAGAAGTGCGCTCGCCCGACCCAGGCTGCGGAACAAACGGCTGCCCTGCGCGCCTTGCCGGCTTTCTTTTCCCCGGCTGCATGGTTTGAGCTGCTCCGCCGGAGGGCGCCTGACATCTGACCTGGCGTGACCCGGCGCCCATGTATCTCTCGTGGTACTCTCTCGGGGCGGCGCGGTGGGCACCCTCCCCGAGCGGCGCGGTCGCCTCGGCCGGCCGCCCCCGCGTCGGCCCAGTTTCACCAGTCTCCGGGGATGATAGCCACGATGGGGTTTCTCCATCGATGAGATGACGAGGCGTGTTTGGAGTTCGGCCGTGATGCACTCATGACATCGAGCTAACGACTAGATCACTGGCCGAACGGCCGACCCAATGGTGCCTCTGAAAAGGGCAGTCAAACGATAAACGGCTATGCTTTTACCACTCCTTTCCATGCTTCTACGCAGCCTTTCCAGCCACACGCTTAAAGTTCTGAGGGAAAATGTGTGAGCACGTTCCCGATGCCTGTCGCAGTTGATG